CGCCTGCAGAGGGCAGCATGGACGGCCCAGGGCCAATCCAGCAGCCACCGCTCCCCGGTCATGGGTGGCACCAGGCCCCGTCCTCGGTGGTGGGACTGCTGTGTGCACCTGGGCTGGGGCCCCAGTGGAGGAAGCTGGCAGCCGCCATGGGGTCACACAGCATTGGCATCCCCACCTCCCGTGGGGGCTTGGGCACAGTGCCCATCCTCTGGCATGGCTCACCCCTGGAGCGGGGCTCACTCAGGAAGGTGCCTGTTTGACGGTGCTGGTTCAGGACTGAGCTGGGGTGCAGATGAAGGCCCTCTCCCATCCCCCAGTGTGGCAGCCGCCGGAGGGGCGGCCTGAGGGCAGGCCTCGCTCACCTGGCGCTGCATCAGGTGCAGGGGTAGGGCCGTGCGGCGGGGGACGGAAGGGGACAGTGGCACTTCCTCCTGGCTGTCCTGCCGACGCAGGCACTCAAAGCTGAAGGAGGGTCTCCGGGGTGCTGAGAAGCAGAGCATGCGGTGCTTCTGTGAGACCCTGTCTGCTGGCCTGGGAGCCGAGCGCCCACCAGACAGCAGGGAGCCCGGGCGGAGTAAGTAGCCCTACTGGGAGCATTTGCAGAAGTACAGGCTGGCGTCCTCTGTGCCACACCTGTTGTCCGGCAGCCACTCTACTTGGAAGCCCGAGGCCCACACGGTAGGGGCACCGCATTCAGGGTCATGTGCATGCCACCCAGCTTCCCACCCAGCTTCCCAGAGGTGCTGACCGCCCTCCTCACCTTCCAGACGCCCTAGAGGCACAGCCTGCTGGGCGGCCTCCTGGGTTGCACACTGCTCTAAAGGGAGCGGCCTTCCACCACCCTGTCCACTCCCCCAGGACACACGCAAGTTCTTTTGTGGGGAAGGACCCCGCCTCTCTAGCACTGAAGAAAGATCAAGGCCACCTCTACCTTTCAAGACAGTAGTCCTGTTAACAGCCCTTTGAATAGAGGTTTCCACACAGGCTGAGCCATGACAGCCACCGGACAACAGCTTCTGGGCCTTCCCCACAGCCAGTCAGGCAGCAGCCCTGCCGCTCAGCAGTGCCTTGCTAGGCCTCTGCTTTCTAAGCTCAGTGGGCACTCCTCGCGGCCCAGAGAACCCCGCACACCCCTAAGTCCTGAGCTGGGACCCTCAGGGCCCTCCCTAGCATCCTGGGGCTGCATTAAGGGGCGCAAGGACCAGGCTGAGCCTGTGGCTGGCCACTGCCCCACAGGGAAAATAAGACAGACACCAGCCCTGGCTTCACAGGCCCGGCACTGTGGGGCCACTGCTCGATGGCTGCTGTCCTCCCCAGACAGCCTTCCCTCCACCCCACACAGGGCACGGCCCCCTTGTCAGCACGGCCTCTAGGACCCTCCAGGGCAGATGGCAGGGCCAGAGCCCTGGGGCCAGGAAAGGGAGACTGCCCCCCCTCATGCAGACGGTGCCTCTGGGCATTAAAAAGGGGCTTGTGTCCAGCCATCGCCCCGGGGGCTCCGCACACCTCCCCTGGAGGGGAAAGCACCCCACCGACAATGCAGTGAGCCCCACCTTCTGCCTTCCCGGCGGCTGAACCCATGGGCAGCAAAGCGAGTCAGAGCTGTTTTCGCTGCCTGCCCTGGTGAGGGGGCCACTGCTGGCACCATGCAGGCTCCTGGCCTCCCAGGCACCCACGCGTGGTGGGCATTAATGGGCCCAGGGAGCAAAGGAAGCCAGCTGTCAGGTCTCACCACCCTGCAGCCCCGGCATTGATGGGGTCCAGAAATGCTCTGGGTAGCAACGTGTGTTTGGGCCTGCAGGATTCAATATTAACCATGGAAACTGCCTGGTTACCCTCCGGGCGTCGCCCAGCCATGCTTGTTACCATGTGATGCGTGGCATGGGCAGACTCGGAGCCCATGTGTCTTGGCTATTTGGGTCACTGATTAGAGTCCTGCTCAAAAATATGCTTCACTCCTCAGAAATGCCAGAAACGGACTGTCAGGGCTCATGAAAATGCCCACGTGTCTGAAATCAAACCGCCTGGCCAGGAGCTGGCAGGGGCCGCACCGGCATTGCTTTCCCCGCCCGAGCCCCTCGCACAGGGTGACCCAGACCTGCCAGCAGTGCCAGTAACTCCGGCTGCACACAAAAACCAGGTGGGAGCGGCTGGCGCAGCCCCTCCCCAGCAGGATGGGGGCACCCACCCCTGGGGTCACCACCAAGGCCCCATACCACCTGCCCCACCAGCTGGCAGACCTGAGGCAGAGACGGGGGAGAGGAGGGTGGAGCGTGGGAAGGACGGTGCCCTGGAGGGACCTTGGAGAGATGGATGCCAAGGGCCAGGTGCCCTCAGAGGCGTGGGGCTGGTAAGCCAGGCCTGGGCTGCAGTCCAGCTCTGCCCTTGAGCCCATCCTTCTTTTCTGAGGGTGGGTTACCCACACACAGAGTGGGCCTGACAGCACCACCATGCAGTCCTGCCTACCTCTTGGCAAGGAGCCTGGGCTCAAAGACAAGGATAAGGTGCACAAAAAGCCCCTTATCAGATGCTGTGTGCTGTGCAACTTTAGGGCCATGAACTGCCTCTCTGTTGTCAGAGCAGTTTGAGCTCTATCACATGGGATGTGCGTGAGAAGAAAGGACAGCCCACAGGGTCTCCACCCAAGGGCTGGTCTCCAGGACTAAGAGACCCTGACCCCTATCACATCCCCTGGGGCTGGGGTGGGGGAGGCACCCTGTTCTCTGGGAAGCATCACCCAAAACAAAAAACCTGGCCTCACATGTCGGGGTGGGAGGTAGGAGGCGTCTCCTTGGAGATCTCCGGGAATCGTAGCAGACGGGCCAGTCCTCCTCTTCCAAGAAGCCCTGAGGGTGATGATAGCCTTGGGGCCACCCAGGGTCCACGCTGCTGCCCGGGTACCGGCTGTAGGAGCCAGAGCACTGCCTGCTGGTTGCAGAGGCCAAAAGCACAGGTGCGTGAAAGCCCGGCTCACCCGGCCAGACCCACACCTGCTGCCCTCTCCCCGCTCCTCCTGGACGCCATGGGACTAGCTGAGAACAAGGCGTCCTCTGCTTCATGGAAGATTCTAGATGCAGGGCAAGGAAGACTCAGGCCAGCAGGCCCACGATGAGTGAGATGCTAGGGGTTCCCTCCCCTGGCAGTCTCAGAATGAGGTCAAATGTGGACTGCAGGTACCCTGCGAGTGCAGCTGTTACCTGCTCACTTCGTCCTCGGGAACCCCTCCTGAGTGCCTGTCCTCCACCCAGCACCAGGCTGGGCCCTGCGGACATGCGGACACATGAAGCCCACCCCCCACCCAGAGATCAGCCCAGACCACGCAGACATCCAGTGCAGGCAGGGGGAGGGGAGCTTGGGACAGGGGTCTGGAGAGGACCTCTGCTGAGTGCCACTCTGACCTCCTGTCCCCCAGCTCCAGGGAAGCCCCTGACTGGAGGCGGCAGGGGGTGCCCATTTAGACCCCACCTGAGCTGCACTGGCCAGGATGCCAGCTCTCACATCGGGATTCCGGGCAGCCTCGAGTGCAGCTGCGGGGGCCCCTGGGCCCCACGGCAGGCAGAGCACAGAGCCAAGAACCACAGGCCTCCTCCCGTCAGTACAGGCCGCAGAGCTGCTCACCTGCTTCCACCTGGCGAGCTGCCATCCTCACAGAGCTCCTCTCCGCTGGAACACTCCTGCCCCCCCCAGCAGTGGGGGTCCCCGAAGTAGCTGTGTATCTCCAGGTCTTCCCGGCAAATAGTTGGAAACTGCTCATCTCCTGAGTCGGACCTGCAGTTGGGAGAGAGGGCCTGAGCACCTGGCAGGTGGCCCCACAGCCGAGCCTCAGCCCCAGGCCAGCACCCCTGCCCATCGCCCCTGGCTTCTCCCTGGGCACCCCTGACCCAGCAGGACCAGGCTGCACGGCCGCTGGCCATGGCGCATGTGCACTCAGATCTCTCATGACGCTGGTGCCAAACCACTCTGCCCAGGGGCCTTGGAGCCCAGACAGATACCATCTGGGGAACCGGGCAGGAAACACTCCTAGAGACCCGTGTGAGCGGCAGTCCCGGGGAGGAGCCTCTAGGCGCCAGGGCCATCCACTAGGACCCCCACGCCTCCCAGCCCAGCCCAGCGTGACTTCAGGGCTCGGAACCAAGAGGCCCCCGCACCAGCACCTCCCACTGCATCCCACCCACAGCGACAGGGGAGATGCTCGCAGAGGACGTCTGCCAGGTACTCAAAGACCGCATGCCCCGGCACTGCCACACTGGCTCTGGGAGTCCCACTGGCCTGTTCTGGACCCTCAGGAAAGCCAGCAGGCCCCAGGGTATCCCCTTTCCCCGAAGAACACTGTGTCCCTCCAAGGACCCCTCCCCCGGCCCTCCCCCAGCTCATGCTGCTCCTGATCTCACCTGGAGCCCCACAGCCTCGCCTTCCTCCACAGAGGGGGCAACTCGCCCCCAGCTGGAGCTGGTGGAGCAAGCAGGCAGCAGGAAGAGGGCACAGTGCTGAGGCTGCAGGGGCACGCCAGGGGAGACCTGGCGCCTGACCTCAGGAGGCCCGGCTTTGCTTTTCTGAAGCCCCACAAGAGGCGGGACCCTGAGTGCTTCTGGGCCCAGGCTCCCAGGGCGTGCCTAGCGGCCGTTCCCGGTACTGCAGGGGCTAGCCCGGGACGCACTAGCAGTGGGCGGAGTCCTCGCGCGACAACTGTCTAAGCAGATGCGGATCGGAAAGTTCCCTTGCTTAGAGAGCAGCAGCGACCTCTGACCCCTGCGTCCACAGCCCCGAGCTCTCCTGTCCTGCCAGCTAGCGGCTCACAGGCCGGCTGGTCACACTTGCAACCCACAGTGTTTACCGCAAACGCAGGCAAGGAGCACATACCTAATGTAAGTTTCGTAATAGCGGGTTCTATCCAGGAAAAGCGTAACATGGGAGGGAGGGAGAAGATACAAGTTAAATGTTTCCAACACAATTCAACACACAGGTATCAGGCTAGTTCCAAACACTGCCTGTTGCCTGTTTTTACATGGTCCCCAAGCTATGAGCAGTTTTTACATTTTAAAGTACTGAAAAAAAAAATCCAAGGAAGAAAAAATATTTCAGCACACATGACTTTATGAGGTTCATACTGCCATGTCCACAAATAACGCTTTATTAGGACACGGCCACACCCAGGTGTTTCCATACTGTCTACAGCTGCTTTCTCACTACAACAGTGGAGTTGAGTAGCTGCCGTGGAGACTTACGGCACTCAAAGCCTAACATATTTTCCCTCTGGCCTTTCATGGAAAACCTCGGCCAGCACCTGTCGCAAAGAACGCTGGCACAATTGGGGAGGACAGGGCAGCAGCAATTGCTGCAGTGTCAGGAGGCACCCCAAACAGGCCACAGGGCGCCGGGAGGCCCTTCATCTCTCAGGTCCACTGGGTGGCGAGGGCCTGCAGAGGAGGTGGTGGCCTCGCAGCGCTCGCGGGTTCTGGTACAAATGCCCCCAAGGCGAGAACACAGCACAACCAAGGGCAGCCACGTCGTCAAGGTTACCTTTTCACACTGGGCCTTCTTCGAGGCTCACGGTCATGCTTGTAGGAGGAATGATGCCCATTTTCAGACATATGCTCAAGGTGTCCCATGCTGGGCCTCTTTCCGGGGGCAGCTTTGGACATATTGGCATTATTGAGATTGGCATTTGTTGAACTGGGCACTTGCTTCCCTATGGAATCATAGTTATGATGGTTATGACACACCGAATTTCCTGCTGGAGGAAACAGCGCTTTCTCAGTATCACTTGCAGGTGGAACTGAAGGCCTTTGGACATGCAGGGGACGGTGGGTGGTATTGGTCTGCTGAAGGGAATCTCTCCTATCACTATTAACATGATTGACATGGTTTCCAAGCAGGGCACCATTTCTCTGCAAAATAATGGGAGACAACACCAGGTAATTTAACAAGGATCTGATGCAGGCTAGCTATGTCAGGTAATTCTTTCTACACGAAGAACAAACTCTAGGTAAGCTCCGTAGGAACTCTGTGACACAGCCTGAGTGTCTCAGTGATCGGAGTGAACGTGCCTGGCAGCCGGTCCCCCCTGACATGAGGAAGGTTGCTGATTTCTGAGCTGGGGAGCAAGCTCTCGGCTCTCACCGAGGGCGCGCCTCCAGCTGCTCCAAGATGAGGCGACCTACACCCAGCGGGGCTGGCTGGCAGCCCTGGGCTGAGGCTGGGCGGCAGGCCTGCTCTCAGGCTTGGGGGCCGGTTGGCGGGTCAGCTGGCCAGGGAGAAGGGTCATGTGGCAGGCGGCTGCTGGAAGGCGCGAGGATGCTCATCTGGGCTGGCCAGGGGCTGCGGCCGGGCACCTCTGAGGCTGCCAGCGCGGGACAGGCAGGGGGCAAGCTTGGGAGGAGCAGGCCTGGCCCCAGAGGAAGCGGGGAGCAGGGAGGGCCTGCTGGGGGGCCCTAGGGCTGCTTGCTCCCTCCGGCCTCTTTTGTGGACACCGGCAGCCCACGCTGGCATCCTGCCCACCATGTCCAGGCGGCCAGTGTGTAGCGAGGCGTGGAATAATTACTTTGAACACATCTTCTTCCTCTCGTTTCATTTCCTCCGGCTCGTCATCTTGCAAGTCACAGGATATGGCACGCCGGATTTCTGGCCCAATGTCGTGCAGTGTCCTTAACCCCGCCTACATCAATGGAAATGGCAAAACGGATTAGACGACATGGGTGCCCGGGGCACAGCTGGGGGCCCGGCTCTGCTCCTGCCTAATCCGCTGTGGGAAGGGAGGGTTCTCCAAAGGACAGCCCGTGGCACCAGCCTCTGTCTGAATGGAGCCAGAGCAGGTCTCGGGTGTAGTCAGGAGTGCACGATGGTCCTCGCTTGGGGTGCTCGAGGCCTTCAACCCAGTAGCCTCCTTCTGGAGGGAACAGGGCCTAGGCTGCCCTGGCCAAGGAACCATTACCGCGTCCCACTGACAGTCTACAGAAGGGCGGCCCTCAGAGCTCCAGCCCACAGAGCCCCGGGCCAGGGTGAGGAGCATGGCCAGGACAAGCTGGCTGTGTCCAGGAGGAGGAGGCCCAGGGGCGAGCTCCAGGGGAAGGCAGAGCAGACAGCCATCAGGGCCACTGGGTCTGCTGAGAAGCCACAGGAAGAAGGGAGACACACAGCACCCCGCAGCCACCAGCACACTCAGGACCATGACAGAATGGATGGACACGCACACAGACCTGGGCCGCTGTGCAGTACCGGCCTCCGGGGCTCTCCGTGGTGCCCGGCCCGCAGCCTGTACTCAGGCCGAAAACTCGCCAACAGTCGGGCATCCTCTCGGAGACCGTGCAGAAAGGGGCTCACCAGCCTCGGCAGGCCCCACGCAGCCCTCCTTACCCTGGGCCCACGTTTCTCAGGGACAAGGCCTGGGAGGGGCCCTGCTATGGTTCCAACATCCTCAGCGACACAGTCAAGATGCTTGGAGACTACATATGGGGAAGGTGTGGTCGCTGCCTTGGGAAAATCAGGATATAGTGGCATTGATTCGAAGAAATGTAGCATGTTGGCTTAGGGACTAACAGGGACAGAACAGCCACTTCACTCTTACCCACAAAAAGACATACATCTGAAGGAGGCGTCTCCCCCTGCCCCAGCCTAGGGCACCTGTGCTATGCCGGCAGCCTGTGTGCAGCTCTGCAGCCACTGAAGGCTTACAGGACATGGAGACCTGGCTGTGAGAGTGTCTGTGTGCAGCTTCCTCCAACGTCAGGACAGTCTGCAGAGGACAGGGCTAGCGGCTGGTCATCAGGGGAGGGGACACTTCCCTGTCCTTCCTCTATAGCCCCCAGCACTGTGTGTGTGTAGCGCAAAGCATGAAGAGCTAGCCTGAGATGCCCCCAGCACTGGCAAGGGGACGGGAGGGTATGGTCAGTCTGAGCACACCTGGCAGGGCCGGGCCCACCGGCACAGGGATGCCCAGAACAGAACCTTGGCAGGTGGCAGCAGCGGTGACATCAACTTAGAATGTAAAGTCATCCAGGAGCTTCCCAGGAAGCTTTAGTGAAAACGGCCTCATCTGTAAAAGCACCCAGCCTATGAGACAGTATTGCTAAAAACGGTGCACCCGGCCGGATCTCATTTGAACCACTCCTGAACAGAGGAGCCACTGTCTCTGCACCTCGCAGCCTGGCAGAGGGGGCAAGCTGCCTGGGGTCACAGCGGGAAGGCTCCCGAGAGGGAAGGCTGTGGCCTCGCAGGGGACACGCTTGCCCCAGGCCAAACCCAGAACAGCCCGGGGTGTGGCCAGCGAGGCTGCCCGTCACTCTCCCGTCCCTCCGCACGCAGGCGGAGGACGCCCACATGCGTGCTTTCCTTCTCTCAGGGTCCGGTGTCAGGCACATTCGAGCCTGGGGACCACCTGGCCTGGAGGCAGGGCCGCCGGCCATTCTCATGGGGGCATCAAGAAGCCGACACCAGCGTCAAACGGGCAAAAGCTGTCACACAGCAGAGCACGGGCAGCAGGTCAGGGCAGCCGTACTAACCCACCCCCATTCCCTCACTATTTTCCAGGGCACCACTGCCCGGGGGAGATGTGCGAAACCAGGGTTTTGTTGCCTGATTTTGGATCATAGGAAGGAAAGGCTGTCACCTATCTGAGGCCCCCAAACGAGAGGTCAGGTTTGAAACACGTGCTGCTGTCTCCCCAGAATAAACACAGGTGACAGTGCGCTAAGTCAACACCCCCAGGGAGATGATGTACAGTCCCTGTCACAAGGCAGCAGGGCCTGGGACACTCCTGAGTTCAGATAACAACAGAGAATCCTGCTCGTTGTCACTCGACTGATTGGACTAGGTCTGAGTAAAAGAAATAGAAAACTATTTATTTGGATAATATTTAACATCATCCTCTGTTGATGGGTTGACATTTCGGTGAAATACACATAGAACATGATTGCATAACAAAAGCGGAACCTGTCTCCAGCATGTGTTCAGTGATACACAAGGTTAGGAGAGTGCATTGAACAGACACAGGACAGAGTTTGTTTGCAACATAAAACATGGAGAGAACAGAGAGGGGGCCCGAGAGGGCACTTCCAAACACAAATAACAGCAACATATTTATTAAAGAGACATTGAAGGAGAAGAGAGAGCATCAACCTTCCCAACACGAAAGCGGAGGTTTAGAAACCACGATAATATTCGGCTCGCTCCGCACAAGAAGAAACCCACCTCCTAAGACTCAGGGACTGGGTTCGCTCCCTCACACAGGGCCTGGGGAAAGACGGGGTGGCGGCTGCAGAGGGGAGGGGCGTCTGCCAGGGCTGGGGGTGAGGGCAACAGAGGTTCCCAAATGTGAGTTGAAGCAAAGCTTAAGCAGAGCACCCTGTATTTTGTACATATAGAAAAACATGGTGATGAAATTTTTCTAGCACATGTATCAAGCTAAAGGTAGCTTAGGCTGCTCCAAAAATTCCATAGGCACAAGTTCCAATCCCCCAAAACGCAAAAAACTATCTTAAATTCTTGAAAAAAAAATTACTTGTTTTCACAACACTAAAAAAAAAAAAAAAAAAAGGAACATTTTTCTCTTGAAATAAACACTTTACCATCAGTAAAATGGCCTATTCTTCGTGTTTCATATCTGTGTCTACCTCTATGAGCAAAATACCATTTTAATTTGAAACGTGCTCATTAGCACTTAAACCAACACAATTAAAACCACATAAGTCATTCCATGAACATCACAGTAGGATTATGGTTTTGAATGAACACAGAATTGCTATAAAATATAAGCATCATTGATTTAAGATGTCTGATCATATAAAATATTAAATAAAATCAAGCCTAGTTTATGGTTGATTTTTAAATGCTAGATATCATCATAAATATTTTCAAAAAACAAAACAAATCTTGGTGCTTTGCCTGTAGACTGCTTGCTTTGAATTTTAGACACCATTTAATTGGAATTTTATAGATATTTATTCTATTGAATGATTAAGTCACCAAAAAAAAAAAAAAAACCCATAGAACAAAAATTCCAAGCTATAAAATCTCCCTCTTTCTGAAGCAGTGGCACAGAAGTAGGACCACGTGACCCCCAGCATTCATTTACTGGCCTTTCTCTTGCAACCCAGGTGCACGTGAAGTCCTCTCACTGCCTGTCTCCCTGCTCAGGCTCCATCGGCCATACTGGGCACCCGCCAGTCTTGGCACCCTAGCCCGCATGCACCGAGGCCCGGAAACCCCTCCTGAACCTACACTGTAGCAGTGGAGATGAGAGATGCTGGCCTCCAGCCGGGACCAGACCAGGCCATCCATCTTCGGACGGGAGCAGCCAGCGTTGAGACTCCAGCCAAGGAACCGGCGTCGGGGCAGAGCCCGTCCTCCCCGCAGGAGGGCCCCCCGCCAGGCTGCCCTGCACGGCGCTCTGCAAGAGGCAGGTCCTGGCAAACCGCGCAGGATCCGGCCCCCACCCAGTCAAAGCGGGCGCTGGTGGACCAGCGCTACCAGAAGACAGAGCCGGAGACTAAATCCTGATAGAGTGAACTTGCTCATTGACAAGCCGCCCTACCTCCCCCGCACACACACTTGCACACATGTCCCACATGGGCACACCCCTTCTTTTGTTGTTTGCTCCCGGGGGGCCATGACAGTGTGGCCTTTGTGTCCATTACCAACAGTCCTTGAATTCTATATAAAGGCCTTGAACACAAGACCCCATGAGTCATCCGCCCTCACGGAAAAGTCAGTTGCCGCGTCACCACAGACATGTCCCTTGGGGCTGCACTCAGGAGAACACATGGAGGTCATTCCCACCAGTTTGAAAGATAAAGTGTTAAAAAGAAATGACCTAGTGATCTCTGACTTTTCCCCACGAACGATCTGACAGTATGTGAGCGGCCCTGACTCCTGGTTTCAGTGTGAACACCAGAGTCGCAGAAATTCCTGCCAGTCTCCTGATAACAGAATGTTACTTAAGATTTGGGCTCAGCCGAAGCCACAGACCCTGGCTTCCATCCCGACGGCAGCCCGGTACCTGCTTCATGCGCTCACATACCTCGTCCCACTACCTCCCAGGCGGGCCAAGGGTACTCCTGTTGGGTTAAGGGAACTGCCCCGACCAGCAGAGGCTCAGCCAGGGCTCCTGGACCCCCAGGCCTGGGGTCCACACGATGCACGCTGAGCTGGCCTACCTCCACCACCGCCGAGAGTATCCTTGGGTCCATGGGGAACAGAGCTGGGATCCCGTCTCAAGCCGAGCGCTCGCTCGTGGCTGCAACTGTGCACGACTGAGATGCCACCTGATCAAGGTTAACTTTCTTTACTAGTGTCGCTACGTGGATATGGAAATGACAACTGGTCACAGGGTGCTCAGCACCGCCCTCATCTCTGCTGTGCTGTCCCCAAGGAGCTGAGAGCTTTAAAAACACCGTCCCTATCAGCACCCCTCGGACCGTGGCTCCTGCAGATGTATGCGGGCAGGCAGACCAGCCGGCGGCTCCAGGTCAGGGGGGCAGGTTGGGACAGGGAGGGGCCTGGGAAGGAGAGAAGGGCTCCAGGTGGGAAGGTGCTGTTCAGAAGGTCTGTTACTGTGGAGGTGATAAAATGGCTCCACACCCTCTCCTCTGGGGGCATTGAGACCATTGCCCTGCAGCGGCAGGTCTCACAGTGTGGTCCAGGGGCCCTGGGGCTCCCCGA